GGGTTACTATAGCCTGGGAGTATAGTCGACTTCAGAGGACTGAAGTCTGGCCCACATCTCAGGACTGTACCTGGGACAGCAGCAGTACAAAACAATGTTCCAGTGTTCAACCTCCGATTGTACATTTTAACTTTTATCAAGTCTGAAGAGTCATATGAAAGGAAAGGCCATGTCATCATCTACTTCTCCAGGTGTTCTAAATTCTGTCCTTATATCAAATAAGATCACTAGAAAATTTGTCCTCCTAAACTACATTAGCTTAACCCTGGAAGAAGTGTCTTTACTTGATTATATGTAAAAGCTAAGTTTAGATGCTGATATCTCTCCTTGCTTTTTCATTTCTCACATTTCTCTTGATTCTCCACCTAAGTCATCAAAATCAGAAACCTAGGTCAAATCCCTCTCCCTTTTCATCTCACATTTAGTTAGTCCTAAAATCTTAGATTCTGCATCCTAAATATCTCAAGTCCACTTCTTCTTTTCACCTGTAATTCCACAACTACCGATTAAGCCTTCCCCATCTCTCCTTGTTTTTTTCCTAAATGGCCAGTCGCTCTAGAGGCCTTCAGTGGCTCCCTCTTCATACGGACACCAAACTCAACCTATTAAAATGTAAATCTAATATGCCAGCATTGCTGGCTAAAACCCAAATGAGTTCAAACTCTCCCCAATTCTGAGGCTTTCTTTTAATGTTTAAGAGTTAGATTCAATTGCACATCAGTTTTCTGAATGTTCTCTCACTTTCCTCTCCTGTACAAGAGGGGTACAGCACAACGGCAGGAAATGAGATCTTTCCCAGATTTGCCCTCTGTCCTCTCTTCTCCCTGCGACTCCTCTAGGCCTCGCAAAATCACCTCTATGTGGAAATATACTATTGACTAATACGCTTCAGGGAATGTCCCGGAGCTGCAGTGGTGAGGAGGACAAGATAGGACAGAACTGTGTGATTCCAGCGTGCAAGCTTAGAATGCAGCGGCACGGTAAGGCAGCCAAGGACTGGCTGGGGACTGACTCAGGCGCTAGTGTGCCTAACCTGGCTAAGCTGCCAATTACACAGCTCACTGGAGGAAGCAGGAGACAATAGCTGAAACACAATGGAAGATAGACTTCCTCTTGGATCAAAGAGAGAGAGCTTAACAAAATAGCTTGTCTTTGACCAGGAGGATATAAATAGTGCAAACTGGTGATAAATAACAGAGAATATAAAGATCAGAGCCAGAGACAGGGAAGGAACAGCAGCAGTCTGGAAAACCGAAAAGTAATGACTAAAACCTATGCTAACTAGTGGTCACCTAGGAAACACGTACTACCTATGACATTCTTTATCTGAATATTTTAAACCTTAAGATTCACTCAGATAAAGTAAAGCAAAATAAGCCCCTAAAAGATGAAGTGTTGAGTACTACAGGGATCCAGAAGTAGAGAAACACATGCTTACGAGGAAAGCTGGAAAGACTATTAGCCTTAGAAACACAACCTTTGGGGGACAGAGCAGGTGGCGGGAGGCACGGGATCCTATTTTCTGTATCTCCCAGGGAGTAGAGAGGCATCAACATGAGGCATGTATTTGAGTCCTATGCTGGAACACCTCCTCCCACAAGACTGAATGCCCCCTGATTGTGAAATAAAGACATTCATAACAAAAACCCCTGGAGAACCCAAAAGCTCCAAATCCCTTGTATAGCCAGAAATCTGGCAAGGGCCTACTCCCTAGCAGCCTAAGTCCTGCTTCAGGGTAAGCCAGACACTCAAGGGACTTTGGTTACCATTTTCATCTAAATGGAAGAGTCACAGTTCATAAAATGTTCTACATGAAACATTCAGTATATCCATGGTCTACCACATATTATTACATACATACATGCAACTATCATATACCTATGAACAATACACGTTTCAAATATACCCTCATCTATATGAAATATACTATTTGCAATATTCAGAATTTATAACCCCAATGCTTAAGAAAATTACAAACTCAATATATTTTTTTTCTGTTTTCTCTCTCTCTCTTTCATCCTATCTTTAGTTTAGTTTACCAGGGCTCACACTTGAGATGATGATATTCAACTCTACATACTTTTCATCACCTTTTCATGCCTCTTCTCTATTTGCATTCCGGGCCCATCTCAAGCAGGGATATCTGCAGCTTTTTTTTCAACTCGGTATCTCAAAGGCCAAAGTGTTTACTTAAAAGGGCAAGAGTATCCTCAAGCAACACAACCCTTGATGTTCCTCAGTAACTCAAGCTTGTCCCAGTGTTTGACTTCTGGTTTCTCCAACACATCCAAATCTGTCTACCTGTATGCCAATGTATCATAAAACTTGAGTTCTGCCAAGTTTTAGGAAGCAAAAAATACTTCATGGAAAATAAAAACACACAAAGAACTAGGAAATGCTGAGAGAAAACCATGGTGATGAAAGATTATAGACCACCTTTCCCAAATTTTATAAATACTGGTTAAATTTTGGACCATGGTAGTCATTAGAGATATGAATATAATAAATATTAAGATTGTTGATTACACTATCTCTTGTTTATCACTTTTATAACCAGAAATTAAGAGTTTCTGTAGAAAAATCTGTACTAGCTAGAGATGGCTGCGTAATGGAAATACACAGCTTTCAGACCTATCGCTTAACCGTGTAAGACAAACAGCAATTGTAAATATGACAAGAAATATACAAGCTCTGATTCAAGAAAGCAACTAATATATATTCACAACGATGTGTTTTACATAAATCCATTATTAAATTTTCTGCATCTTCTCACAGAAGATTATCATATAAATTTTGCAGATAAGGCAAGGGAGTCTGCAGGAGTTTAAATAATCTGCCACAGGTCACATAGCTAGTAAGTAGCATTGCCAGAATTGCAGCCTAGATCAGACTTCAAAGCTTATGCTCTTTCTATCACACTAGGTTTTTTTTTTTTTTTTTCGTAGAGATTACATCAAAACAACGGTTAAAGAGTTAACTTCCCACATGGTAGATTAGTGGGTCCTTCAAAATAGAGTTTGACATTTAGAGGACATTCCTGACTGAACAGCAACATTATGGTAGCACATATTTCAAATCTAAACTTTTAGACAGAATCCCTTTAACCACTGTCCCACCCAGCCAATTTCCTGTCCTATCAGTACTGCTAATTCTAAACATAAACCACTCGAGGAATTTTAGCACACTTGCCAAAGAAACCAAAGGGAGCCTTACAAATTGTAATGTACTCTTATGTGTACACTGCCCTCTGCTGGCTGAAGCAGATTAAATCCTTTAAGGTATCTCCTGGTGTGGATATA